CACGCACACGAGTTAATACATTGACGCAAACGGCTATGGCCTATATAATGGCTTCTAGTTTATATCTCTCTCATCTCTTGCATTCACCTAGGGCTACATGCAGTTAATATTCAAGCCAGATACATTGATTTTATACGGCATATCTTATACTGTCTTGCTATAATGCTATTCTGACTGAATACACGAATTTATGCAATCAAAGTTAACACACACATGCTCTCAATTTACTTACATTTACTTGAAGAAAATAATGGGAGGATGGGTGGGGGGTGCATGCTGTTATCTTGAAACGATATATGCCTTATTTCTACTATAGTTAGAAACCAATTACGAGACAAACATTGGCAGTGGCATTGTAACTTTATTATTTTTCCAAGGTCTCTGTGAGATTTCCAATCATTTAGCTTCGTCGAGCAGTGCTTATGAAAAGTAAGGCGCCACTTTTTGTCTGTACTGTTTGTACTTTGCTATGTGGTTCGAAGTGTTAGCAGGTATCTTGGGATATCTAATAACGTTGCAGTGTTATTTTCATTGCTGTTTCTATAAGAGCAGCTTGCTTTGGCTTTATGCCTTAGCTCTAAAAGTTTTTAAACCAGTTTTTCAAAGAAAAAAATGTACTCCTGGGGCTGTTTCTATAAGAGCAGCTTGCTTTGGCTATATGCCTTGGCTTTGAAAGTATTAGTCCAGTTTCTCTGGAAAAAATTGTACTCTTGGTGCTGTTTCTATAAGGGCAGCTTGCTTTGGGAAAATCCCTTGGTTCAAAGAAGGTTGACTGAATTTTTTTGAGAAGAAAATATTTACATTCGACGCTGCACTTGGTTTCGACACTTTGTTGCTTTGACTATATGCCTCAGCCTCAAAAATATATAGTCAATTTCTTGTATTTTTTTTAAACCTTGTTTTCTCCAAGGGCAGCATCAGTGCTCTGGCTACATGCCTCAGCTCTAAAATGTGCAATAAAGTTTTCAAGGACAATATTGTGTATACCTTCATGCTGTTTCTATAAGGGATCATGAAATATCTTCAAGTTAACTCAATCCTTGAAAATGCACAGTTTGACAGCTTAAAACGAAACTATTAGGAACACTGCCTATGATTTGTCAGCAGAATAATTTCAGTTTTTGGACGAACGTAACTTGAATCTAAGTGCTCTGAACTGAGGTATTTTTATGTATAACTATATATTAGGTCGTCGATCTCATAAGCTTTATTCAGCTCTGTACCAGAGTTAGTGGGTTAGGTCTAATAGAACAAAAAAAATACACGATAACTTAGAAACACTTACTTACATGAATGCATGCTTTACTGATCAGACTTGAGCATTAAGAAACACAATAGCACACTGTAAAAAGACATGCACAATTTCATACTAAAATATGCCAAACATTTAACCTGCACTGTTCTATAAATTTAAATGTCATGATCTTAAACGCACTTACTTTGTAACCGATTTTAGATATAATAGTTTAATGTCTCAATCGTATATTAATGATGTACTATATGTAAAGAAAACACACACGCTTTGTAATACATGTTTAGTGAAGTATTAATAAAAATAGGACCAAAATTGTCCGTCTCCTCTCTCTTGATTTCAATATCTTTAACACACACACACTTTGTTGTAATACATGACTTTGTTTTAATAAAATCTCAAACTTGTCTACTTTGTGTTTGATTTCGCGGCTTTCGGTGAGGGTTTTTCTCCAGGCACTCTGGTTTCCCTCGTAAAAAACAGTGTCCGTGTGTTCGGAACCGTGTTTACGGTTGGTTTTCCATACAAAAATTGAACTTTTAACGAGTAAAATTGCATGAAAGCTAAACATTTCTGTTGACAATTTATATCCGCATAATTGGTATGTCTCGTTATACTCGATAAAAAGCTTAGAATATTTTCGTAAAACGCCCTCAGAATACAAAACATAATGGTCTAATGGAAGCTGACTTGTACACACGGTTACTGGGTTCGATTCCCGGAACACTGTTCTTTGTCGCGATGAACTTCATGTTCTTCAATTAAAGCATGCAAAGCTTCGTCTTTAGACTATAATTTCACTTGACGAGTTGCTGATGAGCACTTTACTGATTTTGAAAGACGTGAAACAGCCAAATTGAAATGCAATACTTCCTCATCCTGCATGGTGCTTATAAAAGAACGACCAAATTCGCCAGATACAGTACGTGACTTTAAACGTGGAATATGTGTTCAAGACTTCAAGATGTTCTCTTAATCACCACCTCATCCGTATCATTTGGCTAATTCTCAAGATTAAGACGAGATAGTTAAATATCAATGCGAACGAAGAGACAATCCGATTACCTATAAAGTGATGCTGAAGATTCCTTAGCGACAAAATGATGCGAGCTTGTTAAATCCTTACCTTACCTCCTGAGCCTACTGTGAAGGGGCTTCCTTCTAGAACCAGCGCATGATGCACTGAGATTACATTTTAACTTTATTAAATAAATATTCTTTTTAGTCCGTTTTGTCAGATCAAATTTTGTCTTTATTTATGTTGTCAACTATGACCGCAGGAAAACTGGACGGTAATTGCATGATGTGATAATTTAAACTGATGATATTTGTACTGGTATATGGCATCTTATATATTTTCTTATGTTCACGATCTCTGTTGCTGCCATGCTGGTCTTCCTAGACGAAGTCTGTCATGCAGCCCAAGTTAATTCTGAAGAGTTTAGGATATCATGGTACAATAACACAGACCTTTCAACACAACATGCAGTGTTTTATTAGTGTAAGATAAGCGGTTCGAGACGTGAGAAGTGTTTGTGGTCATAGTATAAGAGTGTCGTAAACTCGCCTCCAAATCAGTATTTACAACACTCAAAAATCTCAATTCACAACACAAAATCTCAAATTCTCTCTCTCCTCTCCAAAATGTACAACCTCATGCTTTCTTGATTGACACATTTGGAAGTCTGTTAAAAATTTGGGAAACACGGAGTTAAAAATTATGGAAAACACGGAGTCTGTTAAAAATATGGAAAACACGGAGTATAAATGTTTGAAAGTCTGCAAAGCTCAGTGGTCAATGACTCAACGTGAATTATGCAAATTTGATAGCGTGTTTTAAACAACATGGCGTCAAATTCGCGAAACATTTTTGCTATTCCGCAAATGGTAAATAAACGACCGAAAAACTTATCCTTAAACATAAATAATATTCCTCAATTTAAATGGGAGGATATTGTAGACAAAGAGGAAATTGGATGTGGCAGTTTTGGTGTGATTTAAGGTGATATAAGGACACGTAATGTAGTTAGCTACAACCAATAATTTTATGACTTTGAGCAAGAGGCATTATAGCTATAATCTTTTGTTACTGTGTATTCTTTCTTTTATACTATTACTGTGGTATAAAAAATTAGTATAGACTTATGAGCGATCCTTCATTTATGAATATATGTATAATTTACGTTGACTCCGTGTTTTCCATGTTTTTGGCAGACTCCGTGTTTTCCAATATTATTACGTCAGACTCCGTAATTTTGAATCCGGGACTTCGGCTCCGGAACTCCGACTCCGTGTTATCCATGTTACAAATATTGCCAACGGACACACTTTCGGTGACACGAGAAACTTACAGATGGCATTTGCAAAGCGAACCAAACAATCTTTTCCAAAAGGTTCTTTTCAGATGAATTATTTTCCTATCGGTGTGTATTTGATGAAAATAATTTTTGAGTCAGTTTTTTCATTGGAATACTGCCCTGGACGAACCTATAACCACGTTATTCGATCAAAAAACAAACTCAAAGTGAGGGCACTTGAGGGCACTTGAAGTACTTCACCCACGCGAAGTACTATTTCTGTAGCCGACAATCACAGACTGTGGCGAAATAACGACAGTTTTGAAATCAGGTTTATCGTTGCTCGTTTAAATGCATGCAGTAGTACACGAACACAGCATAAAATCTGATGAGAAAGACTCCAGGTAAAACACAGAGAGTGTTATTAAATCAAGCCATGTGTCCAGGAAAACATATCTAAAGGAAACAGTGAAATTAAAACCGCGCTTTTTTCCCGATATTTCCGTGTAAGGCCAGGTCAAGGGTATTGTTCTTAAAGTTGCCGGAATGACCTCCAGCTGGGCTGTTTTCGTCGTTTCTCATCGCATGTTTCACTAATTTTTCATCGATTTCAAAATCTCATTGTCTTCCAGATTATCCTATCACAGTCCAGTTAAATGATATGTTCCATCGTCCTAAGACTACGTTCCAGGCGCCAATCAGCGCTGAGAAGACAGAAGGTTTATCAAGATAGAAATCAATTCTGCAGTATTTAATCGATTATAACTTTTGTTATTCTTTATGAAACTTGTCGATTACGTTTGGTTATAAGAACTATAACTCAGATATAAGTTTTAAACTGAAATAGGGTATATTTCAAGATATATTAAGTTGTTTCAACCGAGAAATATCATCATCAAAGAATCATGTTATCCGGCTGTGATTCTTTTACGTGTAAGTGCTTGTCCTGTGTGACACATATCCATTGGCTGATCTCGTCTCTCATCTTTATCCATCATAAAAAGTCGCTAGACCGTTCTTTTTGTCAGTCGCCTGGAAACGAGTACAACAACACCAAGTTTTTTTATTTATTAGCTTTATTTTATTCAATTTACAAATGTTCATGTAATTTCATCCTATCTGAAGTACATAAAGTTCCAGAATATAGGATGTTTTACAAATTTTATTATGAATAGCTCTATTTCGTAACAAAGAACGAATCATTGACAGATATGCGACGGAGACGTGTCGATCATCAGAAATTATATATGTCATGAGATCAAAGAAAACATTGAACAGAAAAAACACTTGTGGCACCGTGGCTGAATCAAGCAAACAGTTGAAACGATTTGAGCCAAGAAAAATAGGAAATAAGTTAATAGTTGTCAACAAACCAGCAACCATTGTAGGAATCAAGAATTATGAGAGAGAAGTACACCAAACAACTGAACAAAATAGATTCCCTGGATCAAGGACAGCAAAAGATTTGGTTAGTGAAAGGAAAATTGAACATGAAATCAAGAAAACAAATCCACTTCCTGACTGTCAACTTTTCCTATATTGCTTTCAATATATTTCGTGATATCGTCAATGTCTTCCACTTCAACGGCTGGCTTGAAAAGATCTTCTTCGTCATCATCAATTCCACTAAACAGATCTGCTTTTTTCGAAGAATTACCAAAAATATCATCAAGACCATCTGACTTTGTCTTCGACCTGAATGAGATAAAAATAGCAGTTTCACGGGTGCCTCAGAGAGACTTTGCTATAAAACGAGATTTTTCTAAATACCTTGAAGTAACGTCTTTAGTCTTCGGTGTTTCTTGAGCCTTTTCGTCTGAAGGAGCCTTTGGTCTATTTCTCGGCTTAGGCTTGGGTGGTGCGGCGGTTTTAACAGGTATGTCAGGTTTTTTCTGATCTGGTTTGACTGGTTTTTCAGGTTTGGCCGGTTTCTCAGGTTTGACTGGTTTTTCAGGTTTGGGAAAACTCTCAGGTTTTACCGCCTTTTCAGGTTTAACAGGTTTGACCGGTTTTCCAGGTTTAACCGGTTTGTCAGGTTTGACTGGTTTATCAGGTTTGACTGGTTTATCAGGTTTAGTCAGGAAATCAGTATCGTCGGTTGACTCAGCAAACCTGGGCTTCGGCGTAGGGCGCGGTTTAAGGTCGGGTTTCGTTGGCGCGCGGGGCTTGGGACTTGGTGGAACTTTCACTGGTTTCTTGGAAAAGTTTAGTAGCTTGTCAATATCATCGTCGATTCTAGGTATGAAACGAGATGAGGTTCGAATTGTATTTAGGATTGGAATGCCCAAAAGGTTTATCAAAGAAGAGTTGATACAAACACATATCTTCGGGCTAGTTTTTAGCATTCTGCTTCTCATGTGTCAAAGGCATTAACGACAGAAAATAACCAGGCAAGTCAACTGATTACTCATTGTTTTCAACGCGTTCGACACATGAAAGGCTCGACTTGTGAAGCTTCAGGGCTTACTGTAGCAAATCAGGATCATCATCGCTAACAAACAGCTTAACATCACCGGATATTTTCGCTTCGTCTGGGATAAACAAATCACTGATGACACTCTCGTTAGTATCATGACTACCAAAGGAAAACTTCCCGCCTGATTTTAGGAAGGCATCTGACGGTTGTTCTTTTTCAGGTGTTGTCGAATTTGCCGTCTGAGAATCGCTTGAACTCGGCTGTTGGTCAAAAGACGCTGATAATGGATCACTTGTCCCTGCTAAAGGGTCACTTGGTTTTGGTTTTTTATCAACGGGTCTTTTCATGTCCACAGTATCGAGATCTTCTTGGTCACTGCTTGAATCGCTCTCGTTATCAGACCCTTCGTATTGTGTCACGCCAAAAATATCGCGTTCATCTTCTGTTTTACCTGTAGTTTCTTCTTTCTCTTCTTCCTAAAACCAAGTTAAACTTCTCAAAACCAAACCAACAGGTTAAACGCGATGTTTACGCAAGTAATCACTGAACTACCAAGAAATACCTTGCAGATCAACTGAATGAATTCTGACTCAAATCAACTTTTCCGTTATTTCAAATTATCCATTTCTAGGAAATATTCCACAAACCTTTTTCTTATCCTGTTCCGGGACTTGCAGCTGATTCTGTTTTATGCTGATTTTGTTCACCTCGAGGAAATTCAAAACAGGCGAACTACTGCAGAGCTTTGGTGTGCGGGCGATCAGGCTGAGCAACTGTTCCAAGAATTTCTTTCGTTCGTTGAGCGTTTTTTCCGTCACGATGAGCGACATTTTTGGCAGGGAGGGGAAATTTACGCTGGGAAATTTGGCGGCGAGTTTTGTATGCAAGTCCTCGACTTCCTCGTACTTTTTTGCGACCTAGATTAGGAATACGAAATGTTGACTGGCACGTGAACAAGAAACACTCGCACGTGAACAAAAAAAATTCAAAACAAGAAAAACTTGCGAGTAAGATATATAACTGAATAAGCGGAAACACTAGCCTATTTTTCAAGTCTTCCAAAATTTAGTCATGCAAAGTGGCAACACGAACCAAATTATTTCAAGGATTTTTGAGTTTTCAATCTTGTGGAGTGGAATGTGGAAACACGTTTTAATTAAAGATGGTGCCATTTTAATATGAGCAGGTATAATTTTAGTTGAAAAAATTATTTAACAAAAATTTAATCTTTTGTGGTCTGTTGTTGAGCCCCATCATACCATACTTACCGCAAACTGTACCAAGTCGGACTCCTTGTGCTGCCTTGTTTTGAAATAAAAAAGCCGAGTGATCACAATGACATGATAGAGAACCGTGTTCACAATCTTTCCAGGAATGATCTGATATTCTGGCACAATGATGTCGATGCCAGTTGTTTTATTTTTCAATTCTCTGCAGTTAAAAGATATGACATTTTAAACCTATGGGGAAGATTTCTTCAGCACTAAATCTGGGTATATCTCAAATGCCATTATAATCCACAAATGGAGATTATTCCCCTGGTATGGAAATGTGTGTACAACTGAATAAATGCTAAGGCCCTAACATGACAAAAGCCTGGAGTCCTGGATGGGTGGCTCACTAAAGATGGGGAGAGGGATGGCTTGGTTGATATATCTCTCAAGCTATTTGGTAGTAATAACTAATTATGATATAACTCTAATCCACTATTGAGGGTACATCAACCAATTCAAGGTGATTAGTCTGTGAGAATGACCAATCACAATTAATGCAATATATATATCTAAGATAGACCAGATGACCATTGTGGTCAGTTAGTGCGGTCAAATATGTGATGTAAAGAAGCCAAATAAGGCACCATATCTTCGTTAGCTAGAGGGCCTTTCCCAGCTTCAGACTACAGCTTATATTGCATCAAACAGATTCAAACCAATTAAATAAATATTAACGTAGCCTTGCTTTAATAGAATGGTAAACAAAAATTGATTATCTTAATAGAGATGGTTGACATTGACAAACAACAGTTTCAGCATATATCCAAATACCAATAGTTCAAAACGTTAAACTATGAGTAAAACAGAATTGCGCATTTCATTCAAATTATTGGGTAATATCAGTTCGATCAACTAAAATGGTAATATTCAACACGAAGTAACCCATCCCAACAGATCGAAGCAGTATTAAGCACGCAAAAATCCTGATTTGCAAAACGCAAATCGGATCGAGTTATTTTATTACCTGTTCGTTAGCGTTGGCGGCATATTTACGTAGTTTTCAAGTCATTTCTCCGCAATCTTTTTCTGGAAATATTTGATTTGTAACAATGATTTTTTCTGATTGTTTCCAAGATACCGGGTGTAAGACCACTACCGGGTTTCTTTGACCCTCCGAACTATACACCCATAGTATACCTATATTCCTAGAAATAAATCTATTTTCAAGAATTTTACAAGTATTGAGGACCTCAATGGGTAACTAAACTAAATTTAGGTTCGCGTAATCAAATTTTTAAAGTCAAAACAGATTAATATTTAATGGCGCATGTCAATTTTCAAACTTGCATAATGTTTCATAATCAAATTCATTCAATTCATTCAATATTTTACGTATTAAACAATGAAAAATATCATTAAACGAGTAATGAATTGCTTTATTGATATTTGCAAACAAAAAAGAGATATTATTTGAAAAAATATTAATATTTTTCAGGTTCGTTTTGCCATACGGTCAAAAGACCGAGGGTGAAATCACCGGTGGTACTGGTTACATGCGGCCATTTTGAAAATTTAAAGGTGAACAGCATGGCGATGGAATATGTGGATTTTTTGTCGACAGGACAGCAAACTATGTGAGTTTAAGGCCTTTGAAATTGTTTTTAGAAACTCTTGATAGTATACTGTCAGTCGTATTGTTTGTATGTATATTAATATAATAAGTAATGGTTTATTGCAAGTCATTGTGAAACACTGGTGTGTCTCTCTAAATCTATATCGAGTACAATAGTTGTAGGACACTGAATATCTGCATTGTTCAACCTTGTTTGAAGGCCTTTGCATAAGAAAGCGGAAAAAATGCTTCCACAGTATTTGAATGTAGTTACAATATGCGCATGTGCAGTCAATTATACAAAAGGACACTCAGCTTATCAACCTGGACACGTTTATGCCTATGTATTGTTGAGAACAGAACTCTATTTTTACTCTATTTTTAGCCTGTGTTGTCAATGTGGTGCGGCTACGCAGCCAAATCCCTCGAACATGTGCGTAGCATGTTTGAGGACCCAAGTTGATATCACCGAGGGTATCCCCAAACAAGTTCACGTTAACTTCTGTAAAGCTTGCGAAAGGTCAGTGATGAAATATTTCATTAAATTCATGTTAAAACCAGTCATCATTACTATCACTTTGCTATCTTCACAATGACCATCTCAAGAGTCAAGACAACCATTTCTTGAACAACCTCTCCATGTTCAACCTACAGATACCTTCAACCTCCTGACACATGGGTTAGCTGTGCATTGGAGTCGAGAGAGCTCTTGGCATTATGTTTGAAGAAACTTAAAGGCTTATCAAAGGTTTTGACGCAGTATTTTAATTTCTTGAAATGTCTTATAGTTTATCATTGAAAAGCAAATTTTCAAAATTTTGTTCCATTATATTAGGTTAGACTTGTTGATGCTGGATTTATTTGGACCGAACCACATTCAAAACGACTCAAAGTTAAACTTACTATACAGAAAGAGGTGTGTGTATATCTAATTTTACTTTAATTACCCATTTAAAAAACATGAGGGAACTTTGAAGAACTTTAAATTGTGTATCAACAGATATTTCTGGTCGCTTTAAAAATATAGATTCCTGTGCTTAATTCTTTGCCAATTTTTCTTCAATTCTCCTCAGGTAATGAATGCAACGATTCTACAGCAAGTGTTTGTAGTAGAGTATGTTGTTCAAGGACAAATGTGTGGAGATTGCCATCGTAGAGAAGCAAAAGATTACTGGAAGGCACTTGTTCAAATACGACAAAAGGTTAGTTGCTGCAAATAATTTTTGAGCTCCCATTTAGGTCTCCCATATTTGAATTATTTTTAAATAAATTTGTTGTTTCATTCTCTTCCAATACTTAGACAAACCACAAGAAGACATTTTTCTACCTGGAGCAACTGATTATAAAACATCAGGCACACAACAATACATTGAGGATAAAACAACAGTCAGGTGGGTCTTTTGCATTTGTGATCGGCTTTGCCAAAGATGGCCTGAGTTATATTGTACGATTCATTGTATCCGTGGTGAACGTGCCATAAGCAATATCCAACTGTCTTGACAGTTGTATACATATGTACATAACACACCCTAATCATGCATAAGTGTTCTTACAGAAATGATGATTCTTTTGTCTGACTCCTTTTTCCAACTTCTGATTTCAGATGGCTTGGATTTCTTCTTTGCCACTCCACAAGATGCAAAAAAATTTGTCTCGTTCCTCCAATCAGTTGCACCTCTGAGGTAAACTTGTTAATTCATCGATCACCATCATCGTCATCAACATCACTTTGCTAACTCCTCTCACAAATTTCCCTCAAATTCAGGAGCAAATTATCCCAACGATTGATATCCCACGACGTTCACACAAGCTCCTACAATTACTCAAACACTCATTCGGTTGAGCTCATCCCAGTTTGCAAGGTAATTGAAAATCAAACTCAAATCTCAACTCTAAAGAGACTGATTTCCAGAGTGGTATAATTTTATCAAAGGGCATTGCATTGCCAAAGCCAGTTCATGGAAACTAGCTGGCCCGGTCGGTAGCCTTGTTTTGCAAAACACTTCCCAAGTAAGTCATGCAACCTGATTTGGAACTAACATATTTGATGGTGTATTATTTGTATTTTATAGGATGATGTTGTTTGCCTTCCACTAAAGCTTGCTCGGTCACTGGGCAATATCGGGTATGCATATCTAACATATAGAATAATAGTTATAATAATTTCATTCAACATTAGCCAGAAGTATTCTTCCGTTTCTTGGCAATAAATCACAAATCTTGTGAAAATTTAGAACTTGCAACTCGCAAAAACCTTTAACCTCCTTATGAGGTTGTTCACTCCTATTTCCTCCAGCCCTTGACAGCTAGTGGTACTATATATTGTCTTATATATAACGTTTTAGACAATTGGTGATTTGTAGTCGGGTTACCACAGGATTGAAGGTTCTTGATCCAACAACACTTAAAAGTAAGTTCTTCAACTAAAAAGTTGTGTAGATGTTTATATTACAAGCATGCGTATCAGCAGAGAAAAAGTAGCGTTATAAATGAAATATGTCAGAAATAGTTGGATTGTAAACACAATTTTGTGGCCCCCACTTTAATAACTTTTGTGGATAAATTTTTGTAGACTATGATAAATTTTGAAGTTTTGTATCAAATAGTGTGTTTCCCTCAATAACCAGCAAAGGAGATCATCTTGCATGTTTTTTGCAAAACTGTGTTTTTGTGGGATGGCTTGTAACAAAAACCGTAGTCGATTGAAATCAATTTGTTCATTTTGATCAGAAATAAAAAAAAAACGTTTTTCTTGCCTCTTTATTAACCGCGCATGCGCGGAATATGCACCCTAACAAACAGAGCTGATGTTGCAGTATATACAACACACAACAACTTGAAATACGACGTATTATAACAGTTACGTGGCAGCCTCTTCGAACAACTTTTCATGATGAACTTTGTTCGTCGATTGAATTTTTATCGGCTCCTCGTTTGGAGGAGCTTTTGAATTGTATTTAAATGTCAAATGTCTAAGTGAGGGACTAATGCCCGGTTTACACTATACCGGATTCATATATGGTCACGATAGTGGTATAAGTCGTTTTAACCGCATCTCTATGACTGTTCTCAGAACTTTTTCATTTAGCAGATCTTGTTAACCGTTACAACGCATGCGTGCGAATATTCACTTAAAAAATCAGGGGGGGAGTTGTATCAAAGACCGCTTAGCTTAAACGGTGGATAATTCAAAATTAATAAATAACACTCTTACAACTTACAACTCTCTTGAATGAGTCAACTTGAATATTATGCACTGAATATGAAAACCTTTCTAATCCTGCGATTTTAAAACCTTTGTGATTACACTATGTAATCGTGTTATATGAAATACATTCCGGCACAATTTCACACTTCGTGTTTGGGGACCCTAACCAAATCATCCCTTCTTTAGCTGCAGAGATATCAGCTAACATTTACTGGCGAACACCGTTCCATAGTTTGTTGAGTTACAAGCAGCTGACGGAGTTCATGGTCTTACAGTCTGAGCCAGTAGATCATTCCCAGCACACATCAACAATATCACAGGTATAGCTATGGACCTTACCTCTGATGCCAAGCTACCCTTGACACTGGGGTATATTTTGGGGAAAGGGGTTATCAAGTTCCCCACTTTTAAACTTTTCAAGATTGCTTGTGTTGTCAATGTTAGAAACTGCTCTTATTTGGGAGGAGTGGAAATTCGAATTGACAGTGAATGTGTTCAAAATGATGTTTCATTTGACCTGTGTTATTTCGTATTAGTTTTGTTTGGCTGATGTTTGGGTGACGCGAACCTCTGAGATTGGACTCAACGATGCGCAGTACCATTGTCGAACATATTTAGGTCACCTTTTGAAGGCTGGCGACTTAGTGATGGGGTAAGTTGGTTCATCGCAGTGAACTGGTTGATCTCAAGTATACCAGGAAAAAGACCAGTTTTAAAGTAGAAATCGCTTTAATTCATTGTGAAACTATTTTTATGACACTTTATACTATACCTTGCTTTTTAGAATTGATTTTACAACATCAAATTTGAATGACGAGAATTTGAACAAATTGGCCCCGGATAAAATACCCGATGTAGTGAGTCCTTCGAACCGCTTATTTTTCGTTATTTTTCGTTGTTGTTTTTTGACTTTCTTCGCTTTACTTGAACAAGCTTTTTTGCTTTCTCTTTTAAGATTTTGGTGAAGAAGGTTTACGGCGATAAGAAGGAACGTAAGAAAGCCAGAAAGTGGAAGTTGAAAACTTTGGAAAAGGACATGGAAGGAGAGAATTTGCAGCAAATTGAGAGGTTGACTTTGAGTCTAGTGTTGAATCAAATCTTCGCAATTCTTGTCGTCTAATTTTACTCTATTCCATGACAGAGATTACGATGATTTCTTGGAAGATTTGGAAGAAGACAAGACGTACCGACAGAATGTGAATATATATAAAGGTACTGAATATCGTGAGTTTTTCATGTCGACTTTAGCAGGGAAACAATGCTCATCAATATGAACCATGAGCCAATCAAAACGGAGAATCTAAAGTATCAAGATGGCACTGAACTATATGTGGATCAGTGGCACATTTAGCCAATCAGAACACAGAATTTAAAGTACGAAAATGGTATTTGACAAGTTTCTTAAAATTTTGACTTAGCACCGCTGAACGCCAACTCTTAACAACAGAAATGTTAAATTCAGTTAGATACATATGGATAGTGATATTGTGACGAGAGCCAGTTCTGTTTTTGTACCAATGCTTTTCTTTGTTTTATTTCCCTACAGATTCCAGCAAAGCAGGTGTATCCTCAAATACTGACGACCTGCCAGAGGTGAGCTTGGAAGAAATGCTGGATGATTTGAATCTTGATGACGTTGACATGTAAGCATCGTTGTGTGAACTGCCTGCACACAGGCTAGAAGGCAGATAAACGTTGTGTGAAGGCCTGGACCCCAGGGTATTGGTTATGTTTGGAATTTTAAATTTCAGCGTTGAAATGTTTGCCATAAGTTCACACCAGTACATTGACAAAGTACTAAACTATTCAAGAGAAACAACTTAGCATCAAATGTGGTATAACAACTGCCTAAAATAGACAAAGCACTTCTCAATGTTTTAACAAAACACTTCTCGGGACTTTGAGAAGCGTTTTGTCTATTTTAGGCAGTTGTTATACCACATTTGATGCTAAGTTGTTTGAAGACGCTGCCATGCTGCTCCCTGGTTATATTGGAACATATTCAAGAAATACAGGCCATTTTGTGTTTCTGAGAACATAAACCACTAATTCTGGGAAAAAGCGACTCTCAAGATGACAAATCTTGGACAAACATATTTCATTGAACATATGAATACAATGCTATTTACATTAGACAAAATGACCACAATGTCTGGTCAAATATTTCTATCCATTGTTGTTGAAGGAAAGAAAGACAGTAACAGTGAACTATGTTGAGATGGCTGTTAAGGTTTTGTGGTCTTGGTGGTTGGACTTGGTAGATTAGGCAGTAGATTGGTCTCTGGTTAGTCAATTTCTATGGTTTCTGTCTTTTTTTCTTGTGATTTCTTTAAGGATGCCAGGTAGTCTTTGGCGAGGACTTTAGCTGGAATAATATCTAGAGTAGTATTTGCATCAAGTTTAGCATGGAATCATCATTCACCCTCTTTCATATAGTATGTTATATTGGTGGTAATTTGAAATATTTGACAGAGATTTGGTAGTGTGTTAAAATTAATCAACCAACCTCCAAGGAATTGCAGACAGTCTTGTTCATCAACAATTTTGGCTAAAGCGTTCATGAGGGAAAGGATAGTTTAATAGGAGTCCTGCAGAAGTTAAAGTTTGCATGTATATTTGTAATTTGTGTTTTATCAAAGGCTTTGTACCTAAGGATTTATAGGAAACTTCAGGCTTCTTTCCCCCTTTCTTGTGTGCTTCTTTAGCGAGGTATTCAACAAACAGCTCCTGTAAATGCACAACAAACGGTCTGAAATGCATATTATACGAGTCACGAGTGTACTTATGACAGTGTCACTGTATCAGTATGTACTTGGGTAAAAAACTAGCACAAATCAGCGGTCCCCTTACGGTAGCTTTTGCAACCATAAATATAGACTCCTGTCCAGCATGATTCATCTCAGGCGAGCTTTTCATTATTGTTTTAATCCTTGCTAAAGGCAAATTCACTAGTTTCCCTTCTATATCACTTTTGTCCGCCATATTGGATTTTTTTCTGCACAAGTCGTGTTTCCACGATAAAACGTAGAAACTTCTTCATCTTTATTGTCGAAATTAGAGTTGGCAACAAGGTCACCCCCCGTGATATAGTACATTATAGTAGTTCAACAGGAGAGGGAGAAAAGAAGTTCGGTTCGACCTTCTAAACATGGCGAACTCAATGGAGTGTTCAAACTCTCCAGTTACAATAGAAGACAGCGCGTCGGACGAGGAAGCCAACCAAGAAAGTCGTGCGTTTTTGCGTGAGCGTTTTCTTCGTGCGTTATTTGCCGTGTCAAACAAACCGTGTACGTTTCGTATGTACGAGAGAACCGTGGTGACTGGAACGTTTCGTTCAACAGACATAGAGACGACCACGTTTCAAGTGTCGAATCTTGTCACACCCATGGGAGTGTTGCCTGAAGCAATGATCAGAGCTTCTGATGTTCTCACAATAACTGTGCCTACAAACTCTGGTGAACAGTTGGGTACCATGTACTAGTTCCTTGGTGGTTCTCGGATCCATACCTGGTTGAAAGGTTACCTGGATCGGTTAGGCCAACCATGAATTGGGACATCTATGAATCAAGGTCGACAGAGGTGATGAATTTACAAGGAAATACCAGGAGAAATAATACTGTTATTTGAATTTGAATTGTATTTTAAATATGGAGAAGTAGTTCAACTTGTTTCCTAAGATGTTTGTATATATGGAATATTACAATATTTATTGCTATTATTATTCAACTGACTGTCTGTTACTGTCTAGTAACATATAGTTATATATACCTATAGTAACATATGCTAAAAGAATTATGTCAACTATGAATTGTATGAAGGAATCTAATGAATTATACTTATACTAGGCTGTTTTTTTATTAGAATCCAAAGCATCAGCTAGACTAGACTAGCATTGTTCTTGTGCTGTGTTCACGCTTTGTTCTCAATCACCATACACATGAAGTCCTCGTAGCTGACGTTGATGACCCCATTTTGGTTGGCATCTCTCATACGGAACGCGTCAGTTAGCAGACGAAGCATTACGCAACATTGGATGAAGCTATCGAGTTTCATACTTCTGCGTGCTACGGTGTCAAACCTGCCAGAAAAGAGAAAGGAAGTTTATTTAGTTTATGTTTCCTAAAATATCACATCAAACTTGAATTGAGATTCACATGATTTTGTTTCTTAGCTGTCTTGGCAAAGTGAACTATCAACTGACCTTGTAATCAAGAGATGTACAAAATTTGGTGAAACTCTGTATCCCATCTCATTTAATGCTGTCTGAAGTTCATTCATTTCAATGGCACCTGATCGGTCTCTGTCGTAGCGATCAAACACCCCTTTCCATTGTTGTATGTACTTCCAAAGGTCGCAGAATTCGGTGAAACTTATCGTCCCTGATTGATCTCTGTCAAACATACCTGAAGTGATAAACTGTGTAGTTAATATGATTTACTTTGGTCTTTATTTGCTTCTGAAGAAGAAATTTGAAGTCAAAACAACTTACTTATCATCAATCGACATGTTTCGTCATTGAATTGTGTCCAATTTCCATTAATCAGAGCTTGCTTCAGCTCAATTGCTGTGATTTCTCCTGACTTGTCAACGTCGACGGTGATGAACCAATTCCAGAGGGTAGGGTCTGCACCAGGTGGTGGTGCTGGCATTCCATGTGGAAGTCCAGGAGGTGGACCTGTTGGGTAACCTGGTTGAGCCGGATATCCCTGCATACCTTGATGTCCGGGTGGTCGTTGTTGGTATCCTTGCGCCGCCGGAAAACCTTGACCGTATCCACCCGGAGCTGTGGGACCGGGCTGTCTTTGGTAACCGGGTTGGTAACCCGGTGCACTAGGCCTGGCTTGGTAGCCCTGCCCTAAATTGAGTCAAAGTTTACAGTAGTTTATGTGAACATTCAACTAACTTGTTTACAACTGCTCAGCATTATCAAAGTAGGGAGTTTTAGAGTTTAGCTATGACTACAATTATGAAACTTATGAAATCATTATTTTATGCTTGTGTCAAACGAAAAAACGTTTGATGTGAGAATGCGACACCGACCGACCCCAATATTGTCAGCCAGTCCCAGTCGACTATAAAATTGCAAATTACGAAATAATACACCGAAATTTTTAATTTTTATTTCTCTGTAGTGCAACTTTGCACTGCAATAAAAATCAATGAGTTCAACTTACCATAGGAAGGTTGATTATAACCAGGTTGACCGTAATTCCCAGGATAATTTGACATTGTTTTGAACGAGAAATTGGCACTTGTCAGTTTAATACAAACTGTTCTAATTATTCTAATGTATTATAATATATTCAAACTCTGATATCGAAACCGCTGATTTTGCGTAAGACGATGGCCGGCTCAAGCTGTTCCCAGTCTCCTGACTCTCTGAAAGAAAAATGGAAATCACACGCGCGGGTGGAGAGAGTTTTGCGCAACTTTTTGTGTTTAGTCAAATCAAATAATCTATTGTTAAATCAATTGTTGTTAAATTAAAATTTGACCCTTAAACGATGTAATAATGAGCTATGAACGTATATACACAATTGAGTCAAACTCTATGCAAGCATTAGCTATTTGTGCATTGTGCAATGCGCATATTTCCGTTAGAACTTTATTTTCATTGCAAATTCATATTTGAGTATTTTCCAACACGGCGTTACACATGAGCGATTTATTAGCTCGCAAAATGAAATGCAGAAAGCATCGAAGATATCGGATTTAATTTCCTGCGAAATATTCGAAACAACACTTATACCAAAATGAAAATAACTAGATTAATTGTGAAGGATGGTTAAAACGTCGAAAGATGTGAACTGTGGAGCTCCCAAAGGCGGAAATATCCGATTTCAAGAGTGGCAATGGCGTGCTTTGTCGTCTGTTTGCGTAGGACCGTTATGAAAAGCATTGTCACGGACAAGAAGGTATTGTTTGATAGCTAAGAGTTTGTATACAATAAGACAAACTATCTTTTCCTTCGGCTTTGCGCAGTTTAGTCAGTATTCAACATAAATCGTTTTTGTGCTAGATACTTGAAATTTACGGAAGTAAAGTGCGTACTAGTGTATTTAAGCTCCTTCCGACAGTACTTCGTAAGCAGTACTGCGATACTGCATCAGTGGGTATAGTTGATTTGTTGCTCATATACATCGTAAGTCAACAGACTATAAAACATCCATTAGAAGTGAATTAGACCCGACAAAATTTAGATTGTGTGAACACTCTTTAAGGCTACGGCCTAAGCGTTTTAACTTACGTTGTAAAATGGAGAGAATCAGTGCATCAAACAAAGCCTTTCTTGACGATGTTTAAAGTATTTAATTCAATTATGCGTTCATACATTAAATTGTAGAACATTCTTTTTTTTAATGTTTTCACCCTGAAGCGGCCATTTCTTTAACTTTCTTCATGCTAAAGCCTAACTTCTTATCAGCACCATGCAAAGTGTTTTTCTTCAAGAAAGTGCCTGGCTTGAATCGAAGATGAAGCTCTTTCAGTCGTTCCTGTTCGGCTGGTTTCATCTTAAAAAGCTTCACAACTTCCTTTCTCAGTTGTACCCAGTCCAATCTCGGGATTTTCTTAATCATATTTGGTAGAGCTAAAGGTAAAAAGTCCAATAATTTTAAAATGCTCACGTAGAAAGCTCTGAAGCTGATGATATATACCAAAAATCGAGTAAAGATAAACTTTGCAATCAAGAATTTGAGCAATTGAGTCAACTTTACCAGACTTACTTAATCCCTGTTCTTTTATACCGCGTTTTATATATATCCTGAATTTTTATATTAAAACGGAACTAACTGAGAAAGCTTATTCACACTGAAGTACTACGGTATATGATTGTGCAAAAGTTGAAGATCTCAAAGTGACCAACCTGAAAGTCGCTGAACCGTTGTAATGACCTCCTTCATTTTTTCATTCGGACCCGCATATCTCACCGCTGTACACCGTGGTTGCCGGCTCAGGTTGAGGAAATCACGCGAGTAGTACTCAGTCGCCGGCATCTTGCTGCTCTGATACAAAAACTCTGGAGAATACAAATGCCGTATACTCTTCTTCTGCCAGTCGTCCCAAATCTTGTCAACCATAGCGTGAAGAAGAAAGAATTCTGGAGCGGTTGCTGAGTCAAATCCGCTCATCGTTCCACCAAATCCGCCGATGAAAAAATGTATGTTATTGTGAAAATCGTTTCTCAGCATCAATTCGAAATCTCGCAAGTCATTTCCCGACGGGAACATGCCCAGAAACTGCTGCAGAGCAATTACATCTGGGAAAAATTCATCGCGAAGGAAATTTCGTTGTAAACATCCGCCCCCCGCTGATTGTATCAGGTTCCACACCCCCTGCCTAAATGGACCATTCTTGACACAAAGTCCTGGAAATCCCTCTCCGTCCCCTCCCAACCCCGCGTCGGTGTTGTTCCAAATCGCGCCCGTGAATGGCTCGCCAGCGGTCAGCGTGAAGTCCCAATAGGGTACGGTGACGCGGCAGCTCACTCGCCTCAGTAAATTCTCGTATTTCAGCAGAAACCATCGATGCCACGGGAGGAAGTATTCAAATTCGTGTATCTGCTGACTGAAGTATGTTTTATGGATGGTTAAGAGCTTCTCGTAGTCTGGTTTGAACCGTGGATGTGTCGAGACCAGTTTCACCGCGCGGACGTACGCCTTTCGGTCTTGTATCGACATCGTGGAGAACTCGCGTCTCACTCGGTGGCAATCGTACAGCCGGCCGTTCTTGCACTTGCATTCACGTCGGCAGTAGTCGTAAACGACCGGAGCACGACATCGTCGCGGGTAAATGTTACGCTTTGCTTTTAAGAATTGCTCTAAAATGAACAATCACATAATTATCAAATTTTATTTACCTATGACCGTATGAAAATAATTATTAACTACATTTTAGGTAGTTGAATCGTAACTACAAGTCCGGCACAAGTCTTGTAGGTTACGGCCCAGGAAACTATCTGTCAATATTTTTTTGTTTAGGCTGTACTTCGCTGTAATCCTCTCAGATGGGCCTACTTCGGTACTTTTTTTACTCCGTTTTACGAAAGACGAAATTTCTTAATAGGTCGCGTGCTAACGTCATTTAAAATGTCTCGACAAAGTTGAGAAATAAAATTGCTCTTGTTAAAATGTCTAAAAATGCTTTTTAAAAACCTTTTAATCCGTAACAAAAGACCACTTGCTTTGAAAAGAAAGACTTAATAATTGAGTAAATATTTCATAAAAGACCCACCTGATTCTGCATCATGTGTTCCATCAGTCGTCTGCCAAAAAAAGACCAACAGCACTGCTGGTGAAATCAGGGTCGCAAGTTTCACCATATTCCGAGTTTGATAACAAATTTCAGCTCAAAATACAGCAGTAATCATTATCTATACCAAATATCACACACAGAACAGTCAATATTTTCAGGTCTTTTATACATAAACCGCCCACGGTCGTTAAAATGTTGGACCAACTTCTTCCAACTCAATAAAGTCTTTCCTGTACGTAAAATAATTACACGGCTTAAAATCACTCAATCAAAGCGAATATCTTTAATCATATTTGCCAAGTTTAAGCACTTCCTTTCATCACTGCTATTTTAAAGTATTGTTGTGCAGTGGTTGGGCATCTTACTAGTGCTTGTTACTTGTAAACTATGCGTAAACTTTCATTATTGTAAACTTGTAAACAGGGGCGTGCTGGGTCTTAAAGAAGAACAACGAATGAGTAACATTTTAGGGGCCCAAGGGCGCGATCCAAACAAAAACAAACTAGACAAACTGTTTTCACTTTACGGTGACGCGATTCTGTAACGAGACGCTAACTTTGGCCACGTACTTGATATGCAAATAAAATAACTCTTAATAATACAGGTCTAGGACATCATGATTTAGCTAATATACAGCTCTTCTATAAAGGTTGCTTTTATAAACTGTTGTGTATTTAACACTTTTTCAAATTTCAATTTATAGTCTAAAGGGCCCATTATGCCAGGGGCCCACAACGAGTTCCCATTGTCTCGACCCTGGCCAGCACGCCCCTGCTTGTAAACTTTCATTATTCCAAGCAGACGTATCTGCAGTTCTAATATCGGCCGAACCGTTATTAGTGTAACTTTTGTGATCAACACTAATCTCCATGCAGATGGCTTGAATTTGGGTTATATTGAGTGGGTGTTTTTGAAATGAAGCAAATTTCATCAGGACCACAGACTTTTCGGAAAGAACTTTAAGTGATGCGGACACAGGTGCATCTGAAACGGCTTCAAATATGGTAATCTGTCCAATCCCCCGCGTCATTTGGAAAAATCTACTTGGCCTATATGACGATTCCTAGATAATGAGGTTATATTCACTTGTGTGTATCTTCGTATCATTTATTCTGTCCTACAAGGGTTTCTTTTTTATATTTGTTTTTTAATTTCAAAGTCTTGCAAATTCAAGGCAAGAGCACTTTCAGTTTATGGCCTTTGTCATTTGGATTTTGAATGCGGGGGCATTTTAAAGAATGGTGCGGTTGAACAGCTGTTGTTTCGGGTAGTGTTGAAGCTCCTCGCAAAAATGATTTTCATTGGCTGAAATTTACAATACATTTCTGTTTCAACCAATAGCATAGCTTCGTTCTTTAGGAAGCATAGAAAAGCATTATCCAATTGGACGAAAGCTTCCGAAAGCTGCGACATGTCCCGTTGTTTCAAAATGGTCAGATTTAAATGACCACCTTTTCTCAAACACCAGGGTTACAACGGCGTGCATGGGGGAAATCTGTAGGGAACCATTTAGATCGTTGATTTGAAAACCAGAGACATCTGCAATATGACACGAGCGAAGCTAACCGCTTGTTTGTAGTATCTGTGATCCAATTTCTACTTGTTCCTATGGATGGCTCATCCATACTTCTGCTACGCGGAATTATACTTGACTTAAGCTCATTTGAAGCCAAGTACTTTCTAAGTGGAGTTAACTGGATCTAGCTGTAGGTCAAGAATTGAATACTTTGAGTGTTAATAGCAGAGCTAAGAGCTCCAGATTACATGTCTGAAGTCACAATTCCTTAGTTTGTTAAAATGTACATCAAAATACTCGCTGGAAGAAATATGAAAATGACTTCTAAGCGATCCTGGCCTATTCTGTCAGCCTTCTCTAGTCTTAAGACTTCTTTTTCTGAATTACAAGGTCTTTGTTTAGGACAAGAGTATGCTAGTTAACGAAAGAGGTTACTTCATTCTAATGCTAGTCGCCATTAAGAGAGAACTTTCGAACCAATTCACAAGAAAAATACTTGAAGAGATTCAAAATTATTTCCGCAATTCCATGTTTGCAAGCGCAATAACACTTCACTTCAGTCATTTACAGCATCATTGATATTAATTTGTTTTGTGAAGAAATAAGCCCGAATTTTGGTGACATTTTTTCTGTAACTTTTACTAACTCCACCACAGAGGCCTGAGGCCGGCTGTGCGAAGCGCTATATATCCACTGGATAGTGATTTTTAGCCGGTGCAAAAATGCTTGAAAAGTAATGATAACAAAATTTAGATATTGAGCTAAGCGGAATAAATTGAGAAACATTAGTTCAAGAATACGAAGATTCGAGTGAAAAGTTCACAATATCCGGTGGGTATCGCAATACAGCCTTCGTACAAATGGCCCCAGACGTAGCTAAATTGTAAGTAAATTAGCTAAATAACTGAATTATTGTTAAAATAACACGTTCCTAATCCTATCCCCCTGTCTTCTCCTTCTGCGTAACTTCAGAGATATCTTTAGCCCTAACTCCCATCATTTTTTCCATTCCAGAGAGTTTTGCAGAAGAATCAAGCTTCTTTTTGGTCGAAAGTTCTTTCTGCATTTCCATCACTTCTGATTCTTCCTTTTCGCTAACACCAAATGCAGTCGCGTTCAATTTGGCCGACTCTTCCCGTGGAATTTTGTCCAATTCTTTGGGGTTCGTTACTGCGAATTGAGGAAGGTAAGGTATTACCTTTATTCAAAGTAATTAAACGTAACTAAACTAACTTTTTTTATACTGGATAGCTCTATTAGTTCAAAACTGTTCTTCCTAAAGGTCCAGCAAGGATCATCTCTTATTGATCCAGTGTTAGTACAAGAGGGAACCTAAACTAAACTAACTTTATTTATACTGGATAGCTCTGTCAGTTCTAAACTGTTCTTCCTAGAGGTTCAGTAAGGATCATCTCTTATTGATCCAGTGTTACTATAGGAGGAAACGTAAACTAAACTCAGCAACTTTATTTATACTGGATAGCTCTATCAGTTCTAAACTGTTCATCCAAAAGGTCTAGTAAGGATCACTTTTATTGATCCACTGTTAAAACTAAGCCTAAAGCAGCAACTTTACTTACAATAAGAATATAATACTTACCGGCCACTTTTTTCAAAATTTTTATAAGTCCCGTCCAGTTTCCGAGGTCAGGCGGCGCGTACCTGACTCGAACCCCACCGGGTAATCTATCGTTCCTTAACAAATCTCGCGGCCTGAGGTTTGTCCCCGGGAGCGTGCCGTTTTGCGAAACCATACTTTTCGGCAAAAGATAATCGTGGCCTTTCGCCTGCCACTCGGACCAGAGCTTATCAGTGAAAGCATGAGTCGGAATGAATTCGGGTGCCAGCGCGTTGTTGTCGGAAAGCATCGTGCCGCCGACGGCGAAGAATATGATGTTATTCAAATTCCCTCGAAGCATCAGTTCAAACTCTTTAAATTGCGAAGAATTCTTTGCCAAAACCTTGGCGACCGCAACAACATCTGGTATTATGCCCGGGAAATTTATGAAAACTCTTTGTAAACACTTCCCACCGGCATTTTGAGGTAGTTTCCAACCACTTTTAATGTCGAACGGACCTGTGAACATAGGTTAATTAATCGTTAGCAATTAGTGATGATATTTCATTGTAATCAGCCAAGAACCCCGTTTGAAGATCTTATTTCAAGAACACTGGATAGAATGTTTGTTGAAAATCATTAGCACTTAGTTCCCATTTCGCACAAGATTCTTTGTTCTGTTATTGTCATTGTCAGGGGTCTGCTAGGGCTGAAATTGACAGCATTGTTTTCACACGGTATCCGCTGACCTGTATTAACGCATGGCGGATCTCCTACGCCATTTCCGCCAAAACCGTACAACTTCCCACTCCAGAATTCGTTTGTAAACGGTTGCGCAGAGACTAGTGACCAGTCCCAGTATGGCACTGTCACCTTGCAGTCAAACTGACGAATCAGGTTTTCGTATCGTAGCAACAACCATCTGTGCCAGGGAAGGAAATATTTATCGGTATCAATACCTAGAAGAAAAAATATGATTCAAGGGTAAGCTTCTACTCAGTATTGCTAACCGTACATGCTAACTGAATTTCGTGGATAGACAATAAACCATTCGCTATTGGGTTTCATAGTGTTAAGATGAAATATATTACCCGTAAATAACAAACTTTTGCAGTTCAATTCACATAATTATGTCTTGTACTTTACCTGAACTTTGGAGATCTCGATGCATTTTCAGCAATGCCTCGTATTGCGTTTTCCAAGGTTCAGTCGTCGATACAAGACGAACCAATGCTAGATAACGCTCTCTGTCACTTTTAGACATGTGTAAAAATTCTCTACGGATTCGAGTGCAATTCTGAAGTTTTCCTTCGCGGCAGATACATACTTGTTTGCACTTGTCCAATAGCGTTTCACCATCTCGACACCCTGAAAGGTAGAAAGGTTTAATGTATCTATCTAATAGCAGACGGGAATGTAGAGTTGGCCAGTAGAGAAGAATATAGCAGGGTGCTGAAAGTCGAAGTCATGCATTTGTGCTTACCTGGTTTCTTGGTTGAACTGAAGGGTATAGTTGTGATTGGTTCTGTAGACGGTTCTGTGCTGGTGAGATTTGAAATCGGAGGTATGGTTGTAAATGGTTCTGTTGGGGGTTCTGTGCTGGTGAGATTGGTAATCGGAGGTATGGTTGTAAATGGTTCTGTTGGGGGTTCTGTGCTGGTAAGATTTGCATTCGGAGGTATGGTGGTAACTGGGCCTGTAGAGGGCTTTGTGCTGGAAGGATTTAAAGACTTGGTAGGACGTCGAGGCTGCACTATGCTTGTCTGGGAAGGTTCTATTATTTTGGTAGAAAATGAAGGCTGCACTATGGTTGAAACTGGTATTATCTTGGTAGAAAACGAAGGTTGCACTATGGTTGACGGTGGCTTTCTCCTGGTAGGAGATGGACGAGGTGGTTTCTTCGTGGTAGAAGATGGACGAGGTGGTTTCTTCGTGGTAGAAGATGGACGAGGTGGTTTCTTTGTGGTAGAAGATGGACGAGGTGGTTTCTTTGTGGTAGAAGATGGACGAGGTGGTTTCTTCGTGGTAGAAGATGGACGAGGTGGTTTCTTTGTGGTAGGAGATGGACGAGGTGGTTTCTTTGTGGTAGGAGATGGACGAAGTGGTTTCTTTGTGTTAGGAGATGGACGAGGTGGTTTCTTTGTGGTAAAAGATGGATGAGGTGGTTTCTTTGTGGTAGAAGATGGATGAGGTGGTTTCTTTGTGGTAGAAGATGGACGAGGTGGTTTCTTTGTGGTAGGAGATGGACGAGGTGGTTTCTTTGTGGTAGAAGATGGACGAGGTGGTTTCTTTGTGGTAGGAGATAGACGAGGTGGTTTCTTTGTGGTAGAAGATGGACGAGGTGGTTTCTTTGTGGTAGGAGATAGACGAGGTGGTTTCTTTGTGGTAGGAGATGGACGAGGTGGTTTCTTTGTGGTAGGAGATGGACGAGGTGGTTTCTTTGTGGTAGAAGATGGACGAGGTGGTTTCTTCGTGGTAGAAGATGGACGAGGTGGTTTCTTTATGGTTGGAGATAGACGAGGTGGTTTCTTTGTGGTAGGAGATAGACGAGGTGGTTTCTTTGTGGTAGGGGATGGACGAGGTGGTTTCTTCGTGGTAGAAGATGGGCGAGGTGGTTTCTTTGTGGTAGAAGATGGACGAGGTGGTTTCTTTGTGGTAGAAGATGGACGAGGTGGTCTCTTTGTGGTAGGAGATGGACGAGGTGGTTTCTTTGTGGTTGGAGATAGACGAGGTGGTTTCTTTGTGGTAGGAGATGGACGAGGTGGTTTCTTTGTGGTAGGGGATGGACGAGGTGGTTTCTTCGTGGTAGAAGATGGGCGAGGTGGTCTCTTTGTGGTAGAAGATGGACGAGGTGGTTTCTTTGTGGTTGGAGATAGACGAGGTGGTTTCTTTGTGGTAGGAGATGGACGAGGTGGTTTCTTTGTGGTAGGGGATGGACGAGGTGGTTTCGTCGTACTGGAAGACGAAGAAGGTGGGATTGTTGTACTGGAAGATGAGGAAGGTGGTATTGTGGTAGTGGAGGATGGGGAAGGTGGTATTGTTGTACTGGAAGATGGACGAGACACTATGCTTGAACTTGTTACTGGAGGTGTCATTGTCGTTGATGAGGAAGGTGGTATTGTTGTACTGGAAGATGGACGAGACACTATGCTTGAACTTCTTACTGGAGGTATTATTGTCGTTGATGAGGAAGGTGGTATTGTTGTACTGGAAGATGGACGAGACACTATGCTTGAATTTGTTACTGGAGGTATCATTGTCGTTGATGAGGAAGGTGGTATTGTTGTACTGGAAGATGGACGAGACACTATGCTTGAACTTGTTACTGGAGGTATCATTGTCGTTGATGAGGAAGGCGGTATTGTTGTACTGGAAGATGTTGATGAGGAAGGTCGTATTGTTGTACTGGAAGATGTTGATGAGGAAGGTGGTATTGTTGTACTGGGAAGGTGTATTGTTGTACTGGAAGATGTTGATGAGGAAGTGTATTGTTGAGGAAGGTGGTATTGTTGTACTGGGAGATGTTGATGAGGAAGGTGGTATTGTTGTACTGGAAGATGTTGATGAGGAAGGTGGTATTGTTGTACTGGATGATGTTGATGAGGAAGGTGGTATTGTTGTACTTGATGATGTTGATGAGGAAGGTGGTATTGTTGTACTGGAAGATGTTGATGAGGAAGGTGGTATTGTTGTACTGGAAGATGTTGATGAGGAAGGTCGTATTGTTGTACTGGAAGATGTTGATGAGGAGGGTGGTATTGTTGTACTGGAAGATGTTGATGAGGAAGGTGGTATTGTTGTACTGGAAGATGTTGATGAGGAAGGTGGTATTGTTGTACTGGAAGATGTTGATGAGGAAGGTGGTATTGTTGTACTGGAAGATGTTGATGAGGAAGGTGGTATTGTTGTACTGGAAGATGTTGATGAGGAAGGTGGTATTGTTGTACTGGAAGATGTTGATGAGGAAGGTGGTATTGTTGTACTGGAAGATGTTGATGAGGAAGGTGGTATTGTTGTACTGGAAGATGTTGATGAGGAAGGTGGTATTGTTGTACTGGAAGATGTTGATGAGGAAGGTCGTATTGTTGTACTGGAAGATGTTGATGAGGAAGGTCGTATTGTTGTACTGGAAGATGTTGATGAGGAGGGTGGTATTGTTGTACTGGAAGATGTTGATGAGGAGGGTGGTATTGTTGTACTGGAAGATGTTGATGAGGAAGGTGGTATTGTTGTACTGGAAGATGTTGATGAGGAAGGTGGTATTGTTGTACTGGAAGATGTTGATGAGGAAGGTGGTATTGTTGTACTGGAAGATGTTGATGAGGAAGGTGGTATTGTTGTACTGGAAGATGTTGATGAGGAAGGTGGTATTGTTGTACTGGAAGATGTTGATGAGGAAGGTGGTATTGTTGTACTGGAAGATGTTGATGAGGAAGGTGGTATTGTTGTACTGGAAGATGTTGATGAGGAAGGTGGTATTGTTGTACTGGATGATGTTGATGAGGAAGGTGGTATTGTTGTACTGGATGATGTTGATGAGGAAGGTGGTATTGTTGTACTGGAAGATGTTGATGAGGAAGGTGGTATTGTTGTACTGGAAGATGTTGATGAGGAAGGTGGTATTGTTGTACTGGAAGATGTTGATGAAGAAGGTGGTATTGTTGTACTGGAAGATGTTGATGAGGAAGGTGGTATTGTTGTACTGGAAGATGTTGATGAGGAAGGTGGTATTGTTGTACTGGAAGATGTTGATGAGGAAGGTGGTATTGTTGTACTGGAATGTTGATGAGGAAGGTGGTATTGTTGTACTGGAAGATGTTGATGAGGAAGGTGGTATTGTTGTACTGGAAGATGTTGATGAGGAAGGTGGTATTGTTGTACTGGATGATGTTGATGAGGAAGGTGATATTGTTGTACTGGAAGATGGACGGGACACTATGCTTGAACTTGTTACTGGAGGTGTCATTGTCGTTGAAGGAATTCTGGTTGTTGGTGTTGGTGTTGGCGTTGGTCTGCATGGTCTGTGACCTACAAAACGTTTGGTGTATAGTTTTATCAGAATTTAATTGCAATTTTAGCATGGATGATGCTCGCTAACAAAAAGACATCATTGTAAAGGCCAAAACGTCTGAAGTCTGAAGGAGTTTATCAATAACATTCCATACGTCAGAAGTTGATTGGGTTCGACAAAATTTGATTGTGTGAACAGATGTTTGATTTTGCTTACCGTGATAGCCATAATAGTACCCCCAGAAGTTTAGTTTGCAGGGGCGAGGTCGACGCCAGGGTTTCGGTCGTCTTCGGCCAGGCCTCGGTCGTGGACGCCAAATTTTCGGAATTTCGGGCGTTGGTTGTGTTGGGTTATATTCATTGGGATATAAAAAAGTTGGTATTGGTTTGTTATAGTTCGGATTCGGTTTATACGGGTTTAAATCTGGAATTATCGGGGCAGTAGGGTTGTACTGATCAGGGTATTGAAATGTCGGAATCGGTTTATTGTAGTTTAGATCCGGTTTATACTGGTTTACATCAGGAATGATCGGGGCAGTAGGGTTGTATTCGTGTGGGTATTGAAATGTCGGAATTGGTTTATTGTAGTTTGGATCCGGTTTATACTGGTTTACATCAGGAATGATGGGAGCAGTAGGGTTGTATTCGTGGGGGTATTGATATGTTGGAACCGGACCATACTGGTTTGAACCAGGGGGGTTTTCCCAGTCTTGTTTCTTGTCTAATTCTCGGTGATTTTGTCTTGTTTTATCCCATGATTTTAGGAAACCTAATTGTGGTTAAAACTAGTTAATATACGCGAATAAAGCTTGGCTCTGACTAGCTCAAGAAATATTTACTCGGTTTGAAATGGCGAGGGGTTTTTGGCATGAAGAGAGTTCATAGTATACGGGTCTTTCACACAGAAACCAAAGTGTTTTTGTTTGCTCTGGTTTACGTCAGTCGCTTGGCAAGTCAAGTGCCTTTCAAGTGGCTCCCATTTACAGTGCAGACAAAGAGGAAATAATCACAAAGGACAAACTCTACGAATAATTTGCTTCGGTTGCATTTGCTAAAGGCTTTTGTTTTGTGAATTTCTAGATTTTTCTTGGCCATGTTTTCAACCAGGCAAAGACTTTTGTCATATATTTCAAGGCCCGAATCTTAGTCAAATTAATTTTTCGACTGTTTTCATGGACTTTCTCTTCACTCCATGAGAATGATCTCAACATTGGAATTTAGGAAGCATACCATGTTGATAGGCTCTCTTTCAGTTATATATTACAAAGTACAAGCTAATATATTGATCGAATTACGTTAAAAACATGCAGTAAACATTAATCTAAAGCAACCAAGTATTTATTGATATACAGTTAGGTACTAATGATTTCTTTGATGATATGAATATACCTACGACCTCAGCTGAAAATTACCAACTTTTCAAACTGACTGAACTTAAGTCATTTGCACTAAACCCGGGCTGTTATCATTCTATACAAAACAGTTTTTCTCAAAATAAAACATCTTGATTGTTACTTAATGTGGCTTGAATCCCCTTGATTGGTGGTGGATAAAATATTGTAGCTATAGTCGTTCCTATTTATCCACCATTTAACGGGAAAGCGAGCGCCAAAACTTCGGCTCGATTCGCACTCCTAATATTTACCAACTTGTTATCAGAATGAATTTCTCCACACAAGGCTTCTTTGCGCCTGGTCGACAAGTTGTGAATGGCTTATCTCAAGCTCAAAGCCAGCTACAAGTCGAGGATATTGCTTACTCAAACTCAAGTTGTTCCGTCAACAACGACATGCAAGCTGTAAATGGCAACCTTCTTGCAACTCGTTTCGAAAGACCGCATTTACCAAGCATTTTAGAATACTGCAAGCAGAATACTGCTCACACGAAATGCTATTTTATACATTTGTTTTGTATGCGTACCTTTCCTTCTGACTGCCTTGGGTCTTCTTGCGTGTGTTTCCAAAACAAGACACAAAATTAAAACTAACACAAGGACGCCATATTTCTTCGTCATCTTTAACAGCATAGCATACCAAGCAACTTTACTGTTCTATTCGTCTCGAAAACCCGCAATATATTTTATTTCTATGCGTAAGACAAAGGTCCTTGGAGTGAAGTATAAGGCTTTACTATAGTTTTGTAGGTTCTTTGTATGTACCCGGGTGGTTTTATTATATACGACAAAAATGTATACTATTAGGGAAAAAATGTTGTTTGATCTTTGACCATTAGGAAATAGCGGTATGATAGCATGAAAGAGACAGTATAAAACATATGAATGAGGGAAGATAATTTTAGTTTATGCCAAAAAGTGTCGGATTTAAGACGACGAAACATGGCCATCAAGCCCATTTCTGAACGGTCGAATTTGGTCGGCTTAAGTCCTCTTCGTTTATCACTGCAAAGTCGACATAATTTTAACTATCAATTATTTTCATTCATTGCAAAACCTTTTATTTCCATGAGTTTTTGAATGAAGGGTTTTGACTTGAAAGATAAAAATAGCCGCGTTGTCTCGCCTTATTCTACTCTCAGAGAGGTCAACATATTGTTGACACTTCACAAAGTCTAAAGGTTCTCACCTACTTATCCCAAAAACCAACCCGCAAGCCCGCTGCGAGTAATTCCGTCCAACCACAATGCTTGACAGTTTATTTTAATTAGATGCAAACACTGGCAGCGAGCCCGCGAATTGATTTTGATTTAGAGCCTTTAAGTCTCCATGGTAACAACTTGTACAACTGGTTCAAAAGGTTTCCTCTAGGTAATATTCATAAAGAATTTCAAAAACTTCATTACATTTCGTTTTATTTATTTAAACACATCTTCGTTCTTAATTCCTGGTATTAGAAGCAAAATAATTATCCTCTACGGGCGATCACTTTCGATCAACCTAATATATCAATAGATTGTAAACAATTGTATTTATCATCCCCAGCTGTGGTAATACGTCGCTAATGATTTGAAGGTTTAATTTCACCTTGATTTTCATGAACTCTACCCGATGGATTTACTTTTATGTGACTCATGCCACGTCATTTGGTCTTATTGTAAATATTTGATTATAAATCTTGTGAATGACTAAACCTGCATCTTATACATTTAGTATCTACTTCCATTGAAAATAAAGCTATTTACATAGCAATATTTCAGCTCAGTTGTTCAATAAATATATCCTTTTGTTTTCCATTTTCAACTTATCCGCCGTTAATGTTTAATTTTAGCTATTTGCAGAGTCATGAAACTATTCACTTTGACACGTTAATAACCATAATTTCCAACAGAGCACAGCGGCGAACTCCACTGCTTCATTTAACCCTCGTGATCAAAACAAAATTAAACTTCGACTTTAGAATTTTACTGAGAAAGAAATGGCCCGTTTACTAAACATCGAGCAAAATTCCAGCCTAGGCCATTCACGAATGGCCACTGAGGAATATGCTCCGATTTTATTAACCGTTTTGCTGTTTTTGTTGTTTTACACTTAAACTCCGGGGTTTCTTCGACACAGTTGGATGCTTGTTAATCGGGTAACGGTGGGTGAACTCTATATAGTCTCGCTACAAATTCTTGCAACACAAGAATACGTGTTTGCGACTTGATTTTGCGATGACTAGAAAAGAGCCTAACGCTATCCAGCCTTCGTACAACTGCCCCCAGGTGATCTCGCCCGTATTTAGAAATGCATTCTACAGTATTTAACAGATTATATCTTTTGGTATTCTTTATTACATCTTGTGATCATGTTTATTGATAAGAACTTTGATATAAATTTGCCCCAATCCGATCAGCTGGATGAAGTTCTCATGACAATAATGGACTTGTACTAAGTCTGTCATCCAAATGGAAGCTATCAGCTTCATAATCACGTTCCATAATCGCTATCTTTTGTTCTCTCTGCCTTTTCTGCCCCAGTTGGTTTCCTGATGACGAACTAGCATAATTCGATGCATATAATGTATAATTATAAACCTTTTCCATGATGATTCTAACCAGACCTCCATTACTCAACTTACGATATTGACCCATTTTTATATTTACAGGCACGAGAAGAGCTTTCTTTGTACATTCGTCGTCTGGTGCGTCTTCTAGTATTTCATACAATGTTTTGTAAAACCGTTTTAGTTCGTCCTCGTAAGTTGTCTCAGTTACAAATATGACTTTTTCTACTATTTTCATCTTTCTCAAAGCAACTAATGGCTCTGTGACACATAACATGGCAACTTTATGGTTTTCGCCTCGCTTTGTTTTTAACTTGTAAATAGGAATCCTATTCGTTTCTATTGCCGTTTCCATTTCTATTTTTTCGATTTTTTCTTTTTCAATTGTTTCGTCGAAGGAAATTAAATCGTCAATGTTCGCAATGTCAGTTCCTGGTGCTAGAAGCAAAATAAGTCTATCACAAGATAGTTTTCTTAGTTTTAAGGATTGACGTGCCCTCAGAAGTTTATTAAAATATTCCAGTTTTTTCTTGAGAGTGTTGAAATAATAAGACCAGGCGAGTATATACCCAGGATACATCTGTTCCTTCTCAATTATTCTCGAAACGACAACTTCAGACGGTGTGTTAAGATCAAGCAACTGCGCGAAAAATGGGCCGACACCGATTCCGCCTACGACATATATGTAATCGGCAACTTTCAAAGGCGCTTTTCTCCCCCAAATACAACTTACTATAACGATGAAAGTGAGAGAAATTAGCGCTCGCGACGAGATGCCGCTAAAACACGATTTGATCAATTTTTTATAACTGTTGTTGTAACGACGTTTGAGTTGATCTCGTTCTTCTAAGACAAGGGAAATTCGATCAACCAGAACTCCGAGTATGATACCTAACAGCCCTAAACCAACATTGAAAAATACTGGATACGTAACTACGTCTTCTTTAGTGTAGAATATCACTTTTGTTTCGGTTGTTTTATTTCTTTCTTTATAGCGAGTAGTTTCTTTATTTATGACGCCATAAGCCAATATTCCAGCGCTACTTATCAAGCATACCGTATACGTCATCCACAATCTTATCTTCTTTTTCTTTGGTGTGTTTTCCCAGTCAGTATCATAACTAGACGTTGGTATCATAACTGGAACATTAAAACGTTTGTCTGGGCTTTTGATTTCGTCCTTGCTATCATTTGAATTATTCGAATAACCAGAAATATGTTTCATATCTTCTGGTTAATGGACTCTCTACCACTAAGTAATATATCAGCTCACAAATACTCTTTACTCTTTCTGTGTTGTCTCCAGAATTAGTCACGGTCATAAATTTTCTTTGCTTAGACTTGGTGATTTATTTAAATCATGTGGCCATAACACTGAGACCAATTTAATTGTGAATCACTTTCTATAAACCAGTATGCGGTGCATGCTGCGAATAACTTCATGTGTTTTTAAGACACAAATAAGAACTATAGTGAAAGTTGTCACTGTTGTAAGGCCTAGGACTTCGAAAGTCTCGCAACATCCCTCATGCGTAGAATGCTTTACGGTAAACCACTTGGATTCTTTAAATTATAAATTCTTGTTTCTAAGATACAAATTTGAAAAAAATATAGTAACAATGTCGCTGTATGTTGTCATGCCTATGTGTTTTTATTAATTTGCATTTTCACAAAACAAAAACGGGACCCACTCAGTAGACTGTTTTATCTTTTTGTTTTGGATTGAAATTTGACTCTCCTGGTGATCATTCGTCATTACAGACTTTGAATACTTCGTTTTATCTTCAGGTCAAAATATTTTAAATAAGTAGGGAAACAAAACATAATAGGTTGTGATAATGGATTAATATTAAGCCGAACAGCCAGCAAAATTAAAGAGGTAATATTTGTGTGTATCATGGTATCCAGCAAAATTTAATTAAGGTGGTTACAATCAAAGACCATAGTTATGTGTGGCATTATATTGCATTCTGTAGAGCTATTCAATCTATCAAAAGCCATAAATATAAGTAAACCAACTCATGCTTTAACGTTTCATCTTTATTATCTTCATCAAATGTGTATCGATGCTCCTGATTGGTCAGAAAGCACCAGCTAGTTTTCAATATTCTGTATTGATTACGCGTAATGTCCAATTTTTTAAACCAATTTTCTTGCAAAAATAAACAATTATTACCGACTCTCTCATGCGCTCTGACCTTGACGGACGAGAATAAAATAAACAAAATGGCTCAGCAGATGTACTCGTTTCGATGAAAACGAGTTTAATCGTTTTATACGTACATTCCTAATGTCTTGAAAATGTATAATAAAACATTTATTGAAGGCGGATAACATTTACCTTGGTCTGAATAACTCTTTATTTCATGCTCATCTTCATCCTATGTAGTATTTAAAAATCGACGCAATGGTCTCGCGTCTTTCGCTCAACCATTGCATTAAGATTGTTTAAAGCTACAGAAAACCTTTTCCTCTAACTCCTAAATTATAAATCCTAATTCTAAAAAAAAATTAAAAAATAAACTCTAATTATACATTTCGTGATAAATAATTGTGTTCTTGGTCATTATTCTATTACGTTTGTCTTGCGACCAAACGTCAGTCCATCATCATTCGGTTCCCGAAAGTTTTTTAATCTCTTTCATAATGATCTCAACCAGTTCTCCATCCGCTAACTCAGTATAATGTCGAATTTTTATATTTACAGGCACGAGAAGAGCTTTCTCTGTACATTCGTCGTCTGGTGCGTCTTCTAGTATTTCACACAATGTTTTGTAAAACCGTTTTAGTTCGTCGTCATAAGTTGTCTCAGTCACAAATATGACTTTTTCGACCCTTTTCATATTTCTCAAAGCAAATAATGGCTCTGTGACACATAACATGGCAACTTTATGGTTTTCGCCTCGCTTTGTTTTTAACGTGCAAATAGGAATCCTATTCTCTCCTATTCTCGTTTCGATTTCTATTTTTTCAATTGTTTCGTCGAAGGAAATTAAATCGTCAATGTTCGCAATGTCAGTTCCTGGCGCTAGAAGCAAAATAAGTCTATCACAAGATAGTTTTTTTAGTTTTAA